AAATGATTAACAGTGAGCATTTATTATTTAACATGTCGAAGGCTTTGGACTCAAAACCCACAATGCATCTTTTCATTTCATCTTCACACTATATGAAGGCAGGGGCTATCTTTAGAGGTGAGGAGAGAGAAGATTAGATTGATTTAAATGATTTGTCTAAGGTCAAATGGATAAGTAGTGGAACTGCAACTTGTCTAACTCAAAAGTGCATGCTCTTAACCTCTGCTGTTCTGCCCCATGGGGATGTTCATCTGAGTGCTTTTCTAAAATGATGAAGAATTACAATCAGCTTATGTATACAAGAATAGGGGACTGATTAACAAGTTATATCTACACAATATGTGCCTAAGAAAATCACACTCTAGAAGAACTTATATAACATGGGAACATAGACACTCTACAGTGTTATATGAAGAAAATCCATTAAAATGTTTGTAACAAAAAAAATGTTTGTAACATACAGTGTGACCCATTTTGTCAATACAGTAATATAGTATATTGATTATATTACTATATTGTCCCATAAAATACAATATTAAAAATGGATGATATAAAATGATCTGATTTCACAGAATAAAGTAGCTAGCAAAGATTGTGACTGGTTTGCAGGACTCTTATTTTCTTTAAGCTTTTTATTTTCTTCAAACTTTCTACAATGAACCCTCTAAGTTTTAATTTAAAAAAACACAATTATTTAAAATAGAGAAAGGAAGAGACACAGACATGCGCAGAACAGGCACTTTCCAATGACTGAAGACCTTTGTTATTAGGAGAAAGAGAGTAAGGGTTCTCCTGGAACCACACTGTATTTGCCATGAGGAATCCAACAAGCTTCCCTAAGGAGCCCTAACCAGTAAAACAGACATTCTCAAAGCACTGGCTCTTATATTCCTCTTCCAACCTACAGTCCCCTGGTGCTTTAAAAAATAAACATGTGATTAAAGTTAGGCTCTGGTTTTAATTCTAAGTCATTCTTTCAACAATCAAAACACGCTATTCAACTTTCGAGAGCCTCAGACAACAAATAAACCAGATCCTACACAGTGCCTCGCATGTAACAGGGCATCCAAAGAATATACAATAAAGGATGAGTGAACGAGAGGTTCCTAATACCAGCCAACTCAGGGAAAGGGTTTGGAGCCCAGGAGCCAATTTATTTTATACTCTTGCTTAGCCCAGACTTGTATCAGTACCAAGAACTGTTGAAAACCTCATATGCACAAAAGAGAAGGGAGTCAGAGCTGTGTCTGGGGCGCTGCCTAACAGGTGCTTCTTTAATCACAAGATTCAGAATCAACTGGTAGAGAGAATCACAGATCCCTATCTCAACACTAGGTTAGATCTTACTCTCTGGTCATCTCTCAGCTCTGGTTGGATCTCAGTCTGGATTCCAGTCTATTTGTAATGCCCTCCTGGCAGAGGCATCTAGCCCTGTGACTTTCAGCCTCTGGTTGTTACTTTGTCATGACATTTCTCAGATGTTCATGATTATTTTCTCTATCCCTAGGAAAACTGAAGAAGAGAACAATACAAATATCTTGTCTGAGGGCCACCAAGCGAAGTTATGAAAACAAGCTCCTTTCAAAACCACTCTTGCACAGCATAACTGAGCTAAGGTGGTTCTTTTTTAGATTAGCAAAGTATTCTAAAATGTCATAGTTCTTTTCACTCGTGTCACCTTACATAATCATCTGTTGTCTCTGAAATCTTTCAGTCCTTTCCGCTCCCCTACATCCACTTGATTACAAAATTGTTGATTCTCTCTCTCTCCAATCATTTTGAGCCTATCCTTTCATTCTTGACCTCAGACCAGCTATTTGGTTCAGCCCTCTCTGGGGTTGGCTCTGCCCAATCTATTGTAACTGTCTTTTTCCTCCACGTCTTTCCATGATCAAAGATATGTTCCACATTGGTGCTGGGTCATTCCCAAGATCTAGATTCTGGTCTTGTCATACCTGTGGGGGACACACTTCTTTTATCTACCAGCACCCATTATTTTGGAATTATTTCCTACATCATTCTATCAGTAATTCTGCTCAGTCCACAGTGTTCCAAGCACTAACCCCTCCCTATCCCATCCCTTTACCCCCATTCTTCTAAATCCCCAGAGACAGGCACAAAATTCAGTCCATCTGCTGAGGACCACATGATTGGCCCCAAATTAAGAAAAGAGTCATGTGAATGGCCTCATGCTGGCCGATCACTGTCCTCCCTGGGGCCTTCTGCCAAAACTGTCAAGAAATATACTTTCTTCTCAGTGCTGCAACTCTAAGAACAGTTGAGGCTAGACCTATCTGGATCACTCCCACAGAGAATAAAGTCAATACCAAGACCAGCAGAGGTCACAGAAAATGAGAAGCTAAAAGAAAGAAAAGGAAAAGACTCCTACCAAAGATGTCACTGGAGTCCTTAAACCCTGCCATGCTTTCGTCATCTTGGATTTACCAGCTATTTGGCAAATAAATGCCATTTTTCTTCTTAGAATCTATTTTAATTGCCTTCTTGACACTTTCATGTGCAGAAGATTCAAAATGTATTTTTAGAACTTTCAATAGCTTATTTTATAAAACAAAAAAATCCCAAACTACTCAGCCCAATATTCAAGTTCTTCAATACAAAAACCACCTTAGCTTTTCAGCCTTAGCTCTCCTGTCCCAGCCTCAAGTAGTTCTTACAGATGTTAAAATAATAACAATCATAGAATCGATACCCTCTGCTATTGTCACCAGGCACCCTGGTTTCATTCCCCCATGCCACTGCTCAGAATAGTATTGGAATTATTTAGTATTGGAATTGATAGAATTGGAATTATTCTATTCTCTCCTTTACCATTCAGCCTTCTAGATCCTGCTCATATTAAGTGCTAACATCCTAATTTTGCATTATAGCTTCCCATGCATGCATATCTTGTCCCATAAGGATGCTGCATGAAACCAGTTCTTTCTAAAGCTTAATCTCTAGCACCTAAAAATCTGCTCCAGAAAGCAGACACTCTGCACAGAGGTTTGCAGCTCTGGGTCAGAAATGAAAGACTGAGGGTTGATACCTGTTAGACTCTTAATTCCTCCTTATATTAGATTTCTCAAAAATCAGCCACATCACCATAGAACTCAACAATCACACTCCTGTGCATTTATCCCAGAAGAACAAATTTGTGTTCGCATGGAGGCCTGTACACAAACATTAACAGCACCTTCATTCATAATACCTCAAACTGGGAACAACCCTGATGTCCTCCAACAGGTGACTGGCTAACCTGTGGTATATCCACACAATGGAACACTATCAGTATAAAATAACAAACTATTGTTATATGCAACAATTTGAATAATCTTTGAAATATAATGACTGAAAAAGAAAGCCAACCTCCCAAATAACCTATTACATAATCCCATTTATGTAACAATCTTGAAATGGCAAAATTAAAGAAATTAAGAAAAAACCCCCAACAGATTACTGGTTGCCAGAAGCTAGGGATGAGGAACAAAGTGGAAGTGAGGCAGACTGGCGTGGCCTGGAGTAGTGGGTACACCTGTAATCCAAGTTACTCAGGAGGCTGAAGCAGGAGGATCACAAGTTCCAGATCAACCTCAGCCATTCAGAAAAACTTTGTCTCAAAATAAGCACAAAATTGTCCAGAGATGTAGTTCAGTGGTAAAGAGCCCCTAGGTTCCATCCCATATACCACACACACATAAAACAGGCACCACAAAGGACCCTCATGGTGATGGAAATGCTCTGCATCTTGACTGTATTAACATCAATATCCTAATTGGGATACTGAAAAAAAAATTTATAGGCTGTTATCATTGGAGAAAACTGAATAAAGGATATATAGAATCCCTCTGTGCCATTTCTTACAACTACCTATGGATCTACAATTTCTCAAAATAAAAACCCAATTAAAAAAAAAATCTGGGCTGGGGCTGTAGCTCAGTGGCAGAGCACTTGCCTAGCACATGAGAGGCCCTGGGTTTGACCCTTAGCATCACATAAAAATAAATAAAATAAAGGAATTCTGTTCATCTACAACTACAAGAAAGAATTAAAAAAAATAACAACTAACCATAACCATATCTCCAATCTGAATTGAAAAACAAGACACTCAGTGCTGGGAAAACTCACAGAAAATAACAATTCCAAACAGCAGATCTTATAGCAATACCATAGTGTTTTGAAAGCCATTTTCAAGATTGAGGATGGCAAAAGAAATGACAAATACTAACAAGAGACTTTCTTTGCCCAGAACACTGAGCTGGAACCCCGTGCGATAGTCCATCTTCACAAGTGCATGGATGGGCTTCCGTGGAAATGAATAACACCCACTGATCTGTGAAATTTGATCTGTTTGCCATTTAGATCCATGTGACTCACTGAGGCTGGCTGCACTCATGTCTAAAAATACAGGAAATCTGCAGCCTAAGCAAATTTGACTCAGGGGTTCATGGGTTTTGATTCAAATACTGCACATTTGGAGACATGGTTTTATATTTATATCAGCCGTGGCAAAGAAGGTCCTGCTACTCAAGTGACTGGGACTAAGTTAAAAATCTAGAAGTGAAGAGGATCAGAAGATTTATCTGTGTATGTACATTTTATCTGAGAGTTATATGACACCCTCAGTAATAGGAACGTGAGCTCTGAGGTCCTCTGTGGGCTAGAAGGATGCCCTTCCTTGGGCATTGGGTGTGTCCCACTAAATACCTGCCTCCAATGAGGACAGAGGGAGTCATGAGCTATTAAAGATAGAGTTGGGTGTGGTGGTCACATGAGTGATCAAGTGCCACTTGGACTAGCAGTGGCTGAGTCTGAAGGGAGGGTGTGGTGCTTTGGACTGGGCACTTTTTATTTTGTCCACTCAGAACCTTTCCCGGTTGTGCCCAGTGTCATGACAACTGGTGAATGGAGCAGCAGATTTCTGGGCATTGACTCTTGGGATACCCTAATTCCTTCCCCACCGTACTCAGGGACCTGATGAGGTTTCAGAGTGCTGGACTTACCCATAAGAACGCTCAGCAACTTCTGCACTCTGGAGTTGACCCCCACGATTCGGTACAGCCCTTGCTCATTGATCCCTGAGACGAGAAAGAGTGACGATTTAATTAGAGGCATGTCAGAACACTAGTCAGGCCAACCTGGCCAAATGCTCTTCTTTCTCATTTTCTCAGTCCTTCTAAAAGCTGCTCTAATTAAAGTCCCCTGTCACTCAGCTCAGCTCTTAGCAAAGGAGTGGGATTTGGTACAGCTGTCTAGGATTTCACGGGTGTGCTGCACACTTTAGCCTTCGTGTTAGCTCAGTCATCAGAGGGGAAAGAAACTTTCCTCTTCTCTTGCCAAAGGGAACATCTGAGGAGTTTTTAAAAAGATGCAAAATGTATTCTTTTAAAGATGTTATACTTAACTAATTTTTGAATTTAAAAAGTCAAAAGTGCCATGATAAAAAAAATTCATACAATAGGAATGAGCAAATACTTCATAATCTATTTTTACACAGAGAATGAAAATATTGGGGAAAAGGGGAAGGCGAGGAAGGAATGGGGCATAGGAGTAGGAAAGACAGTAGAATGCCATGGTAATCATTATCCTAAGTACATATAAGAAGACATGAAGGATGTGACTACTTTGTGTACAAAAAATTGTGTTCTATATGTGTAATACAAATTGTAATGCATTCTGTTGTCATATATAGCAAATCAAAATTTAAAAAAATAAAAATAAAAAATCAGCTCACAAAAAAATAGAAAATATTGGTGTATAAGGACATTTTTAATTTTATAGAATGTTATCCAAGATGGAGAAATTAGAAAATCCATTCATTTGTAATATAAATATTCTTAATAAAGAAAAAGGAAGGTGACTTTCATCAAATCCAAGGAACTGTGCAGTTAGACTAGAAGGAGTTTACTTTCCAACACCTGAATGAAGAATCACAAAATACCCCACTGCAATACTTCTGTTCATTTCAATGTATGGATTAAATCTCCCACTGCACCATTTCCAAAATGAGGCCACTCAGACCAAGTGATTTGAAAAGATTTTTCTCCTTTTATCCAAGGCCCATCATACCAGATACTTTTCAAGTAACCGGTATCCTCCTTTGTATCTCATCCCACTGATGTCCATTCTCCAAACAAAATGAACTTCAAGTATATATCAGCTCATGTCACTTATTCTCTTAAAACTTTCCAGTGGGTTCCCATTGCGCACAGACCATAATCAAAACTCCTTTGGTGGCCTACAATGCCTTCACAGCTGAACCCACCCACCTCCCCCTGTACCTAAACTAACACATCAGCTACACTAATCTCAAAGCTTCACATAACTCATTTCTTCTATGTAGCTCACTCTTCTTCCAGATCTTTCCATCATTCAGTTCTCAGCTTAAATGCAAATTCTTCAATCTAATGCACCAATAGCCAACACTCCTGGTCATTTCCTTACTTTGCTTCCTTTATAGTAATTAACAATATTTGAAATTCTCTTTTTCCTGAAAAATAATGCCTATTTGGAGATAGTAGTTTTATGTGTATATAAATTCAGGAAAGGGCTGATTCTATAGCATCTTCAACAGACCTACCTAAAAGTGGGACTAATGAATAGAAGGAAATGATCGGGACTGATAGGATATCACAGCTGAAAAGAACCTGTAAAATCCATTTCAAAATCCTGCATTGTTCATGAGCTAAAAGCTCTTGCTCAAAAACAAATGATGGGGCTGGGGTTGTAGCTCTGAGATAGAGCACTTGCCTAGCATATATAGGTCACTGGGTTCGATCCTCAGTCCCACATATAAATAAATAAAGGTATTGTGTCCATCTACAACTAAAATATTATAAAAATAAAAATATTATAAAAATAATAACAAAACAAAGCAAAACAAAAATGATGAGTCTATGTTGCTCGGTGGCAGAAAATGTATTCAGTAATGTGCCAGGCTTGCAGGCTTGAAAGGCCTCAAGTGACTGTTTCTTTTATCCTTGTGTGTTCCTAGGACTTCACACAGTCCTGGCTCCCACTAGACAATTACTGATGAATCCCTGAGAGTAGGGGATGGCTTTTCATCTCTGGATCCCAGATATGTGTGTATATAAATGCACCAAACTAGGGAAACATCCACTTTCTTCACTTAGTTATACTAAAATGGCATTTAACTCACAGCATCCTTATTTCTGCTTTGTGCTAAATGAAAACTTGTTTGGAACTTAAAAACATAATTCTCATTCTCATTTTGGAGACAGCAGGGGACAAGGAAGCAAAGACTAAGAAGCCAAACCAACTTGTGACCCTTCTCTTCTCCTACTTACTGTATATATTTTCTAGTTGTATATCAGATTAAAAAAAAAAAAGTTGTCCTCCTGAGATACAGTAGTTTTGCATTTATTACAGACTTAGTGAACAGTTTTATACGATTAGGTTTCCCTGTTGGTTCTGGATACTGAAAATAGACAAACAGGTGGCCCATCTTAGGTGAGTATATGAATCCACTCAGGGGAGGGTTACTTTGGATTCAAGTTTGATTCCATTTACATGCTTCTACTTCTGTTAACCCTGTACTCCTCATTTAAATTTTTTTTGTTTCAAATGAAACTCAAGTTTGCACTTGTTTGGAAAACTATCCTAACAATATCAATTTGTTGGAAAATTATATTAACAATATAAATCTCAAAAATATTTATAGACTACAATTAAGGCCAAGAGATAAATCAAAGAAGAGAGTAAAAAACAGCAGGGAAAGTCACTGATAACAATGATACTGGGCAAAAGGATATACCCTTGCCTTGCTAGTCCCAGAATGGGCTCAGACTAGACAGCTGTTTTGTAACTTCCATTTTTCACTTAATGTGTATAATTAAGAAAGACTGGATATTGGAAAATGTATTTTCACTACATTTTTAGTGATTTATATTTATGGCCCTGCTGTAAAAGACAGAATGTCTTTCAAACAAATAAAAAGGACTAGTAGGTAGAGAGGCTGTACAATAAATAAAAATCGCATCTCTAACAATAACTCAAATCAAATCCTATAGAAAGATGGCTAATACCTTTTCTCAGAGCACAACAGATGGGTGTACTCAAAGCTCCACACTGCCAGAATGGAGGACTCTCATTTGTGGCAGTCTCTCAGGAGAGGATGGAGACTACAGGGGTGATCTAGCCTCCCTGATCTCAAGTGTCCTACTCTGGTGGACCCAGGAAAGGTGTGCGGCAGGGGCCTGATCCCTTCTCTGTACCTGATGGTCCTGGGAACTCACTGCCAAGATCAGAGGTCCTTAGCCTAGAGCCCACAGACATTCACTGGAAATAATTCAGAGACCTATGAATTAGGAAAATCATTACATCTTTATTTTCACTAAAGCTATAACTGACATTACACATTTCCTTCCATTATGAATGTGAAGTCACAGTAGCACTCAATACCTGCAACTTGGTCAGAAATCAGGTATTTTCATAACATATAACAATTGTTACAAACATCCTGAACTATCACTACTTTCAGATTATGGCAGTCATCAGAGCTACCACTATAACTTGTGAAAAGAATATCATTAACAAAGAAATGTATTTATAACCAAGTCATAACTATGTTTTTAAGTATTTTAGTAACTGAATTTCAGTAACTGATTTCTATAAGCCTATGTGTTTTATATACATTTAAAACATTCATCTGATCTGTCAAAATCGATGACACAAATGGGTTGAGAACCTCTGCCTCAGACCCAAGTAGCTTGTGGAAACACTGACACAGGCACTAGGAGAGTTAATGAGTCACTCAGGAAACAGCAGGTAGCAACCAGATGCGTGACCTTCCATGAGAACAATGCCATCTGTTAGACTACTTTACCTCTGGTTTCCACAGCATGGATGCATTTCCTGATTATGCTGAAGCCAATGCTGTCCAACTGTGCAGCTGAAAGAGCAAGAGAAGGGCAGTCAAGTTGTGGCCTTGCAAATCACCCTCAGGGTATGACCTGACCAAGCCACCATGAGTCAATCAAACACAGGGTGTGGCCAAGTGTGCTTTTAATTTTTCCCATAGAAATTATAAATAAAAAATAAGCTCGGTGCCCTGGCAAACACCTGTAATCCCAGTGGCTAGGGAGGCTGAGGCAGGAGGATCACGAGTTCAAAGCCAACCTCAGCAACAATAAGGCGCTAAAGAAACTCAGTGAGATCCTGTCTCTAAATAAATACAAAATAGGGCTGGGGATGTGACTCAGTGGTTGAGAACCCCTGAGTTCAATCCTCAGTACCCCTCCAAAAAAATTAATGAATAAATATAAAATAATAGTAAAAATAACTGGTATCAATGGAGAATTTACCGTAGACCAGGTAAGTGTTAAACGCTTTGTATACATTTTCTTATTTAGTTCTTAAGTAATCTGCAACATTATCCTTAATTTATAGCTGAAAAAACTATAGCACAGAGTGATAGGCACCTTGAAACAGGACTAACTTGCTTGCAGTCTCAAAAAAGCAAAAATGAAGTGATCTTTAAATGGTGGGTAAGTACTTTACACCGCTTCTCTCATTTAACAAGACCTCCAGGATGATACTATCATTAGCCCCATATCACAGATGAAGAAACTGAGGCTTGGTAAAGACAAATATCTTGCCCGGTTAATATGTGGAGACTTGCTTCAGTGTCCATATCACCAAGTTGCCTTAAATGTGACACCAAGAAAGTATAATCCTGTTCAGGTGAGTAGGAAAAAGGGAAAAATGAACAAAAAAAAAAAAAAAAGAAAAATAATAGAGAAAATTAACACAGCCAGGAACAAAGAAGTACACGAGGAAGAAGCACTTGGGCAGCAGAGCCATCCCTCCACATGGCAAATCAGCAGGTGGTAGCAAGGTTCTCCACCTGCTTCAGCACCACCAATGCCACTCAGAAAATAAATGATCCACATCAGCAAATTTTTCCAGAACAACAAACTGGTTTCTAACCTGGCACTGAAGAAGCTGGAAATCTACCAAAACTCATCCCCAGGCTTTGGTTACCCAGTGATAAAATGTACAAACTTTAAGAATGGGTTCATCTTTAACCTCACTGGGATATTAGCACAAGATATTCTATAGTTCGCTGCTCAACATGAAGAAAGAAGGGGTAGAGAATAGGAATAGGAATAGGATGGTGAGTATTAATAAAAGATTTGTGATCATCTATGGCAAGAAATAAACTAGTCATCCATGAGAACTAAGCAGAACCTGAACTCATCTTGGATCTTCTCCAAATGAAATCCTGCTCCAATTCTTAGTATATATGGGTAAACTTAGATCTAACTAAGATTTTTTAAAATCTTTTTCCCGGGCATGGTGGTGCACACATGAAATCCCAGCAATTCAGGAGGCTGAGGCAGGAGGATCTCAAGTTCAAGGTCAGCCTGGGCAACTTAGTAAAACCCTGGCTCAAAATAAAAAAAATATTAAAGAGTAAGGGGATGTAGCTCACTGGTAAAGGACCCCTGGATTTAATCCCCAGTGTGGAAAAAAAAAATTAATCACCAAGAATATCCAAATATCAAATGAAAAAGAAATGTTAATTTCCCTAAACTTCTCTTCCCAAAGTGAAACAGCTCCTGTAATTTCAGTCACATTTACTGCTAAGTGGTACTTATAAATACACCCAGCCTCTAGGATGAGTAAAGAACCAGAAGAAACCAGGTAAATCATGTTCTTTTCCCCTGAAAATTACCAGCTATAAAAATTATTCTTCTTATTCCCTTAAGTAAGGAGCCTACTAACTCAATCCCTTGTGGGTTTTTTTTTTTTTTTTTGTATGAACCAAGTATTTGCTCTGCAAATAGTGATATCTCAAGCTTTCTGACTGAAGGCTGCAAGCCAGACTGATACAATTCTTCCAAGTGAAACTCTATTCACTCATACAACAGACATTTTTCAAACTTAGGGACAACCTTTAATGCACAGATTAAACACCTGTTGGAATCTGGGGGTGAATTTTTTTTGTTTTAAAATAGTGTTTATTAAGAATGACACTTAAGAACATCATGCTAAATGGAATAAGCCAAACTCAGAAAGTCTAGGATCATATTTTTTTCTCTCATATGTTTCATTTTGGGAAGAGAAGTTTGGAGAACTTAACATTTTTCCTTTTAGAGAAAGAATATGTGTGCAAGGTGCAGGGAGGGTGTCTCATGAAAACAGAAGGGAGGTGAGGAGAGGAGAGGAAAGGGTGCACAGAGGAAGAGGAGCAAGGGGAGACAGGGGGAGTGAAACTGACAGAATTCTGCTATGTGCACGCGTGAGTACGTAACAAAAGACCCCACTAGTATGTACAATTAAAATTCACCAATAAAAAGGAAAATAAGTTTTAAGATATAATTCACATACCATAAAGTCCACCCATTTTAAGAGTATAGTTCAGCTATTTCTCATACTTACAAAGCTGTGCATTCATCACTACATTTTTGTCCCCCATAAGAATAAATAAATGTGAGCACAGACATCAACAGCCACCATTGCTGGCAATGACTAATCTACCTGGCTTCTGTACCTGGCTTCTCTACCTACCTGCTCTGTACACTCCACATAGATGGAATCAACAAATATGTGGTCTTTTACACCTGGTTTCTTTCATTGAATGTTTTCAAGCTTATCCATGCTGCAGCAGCAGTACTTCATTCCTTTAGAATTAATTCCATTGTAGCAGATACCACATTTTGTTCATCCATTCATCAAATGATAGACATTTGGGTTGTTTCCACTTTGGGGCTATTATAAATAATGGTGTTATGAATAACTGTATACAAGTCTGGGTGGACATGTATTTTCATTTCTCTTGTGTATACACTTATGAGTGGAATTGCTGGATCATAGGACTATGCTTTTCTCCTCCTTTTTGAAATGTCTTGATTTTTTATTGGTGCATTACAATTATACATAGTAGTGGGATTTATTACTACATATTTGTATATGCACAAGATATAAAAATATACTTTGGTCAATTCCATTCTCAGCACCTCCCCTTATCCCTCTTCTCTTCCCTCCCCATAGTCCCCTTTTGCTATTCTACTGGCCTATGTTTTTTATTGAAATTGTCAAATTGTCTTCTAAAGCAGTGCACCATTTTACATTCCTACCAGCAATGCAAGAGGGTTCCAATTTCTCCACATCCTTGCCAACATTTGTTATTGTCTTTTTTATTATAGCCATCCTAGTGGGTGTCAGAGTTATCTCCTTGTGGTTTTGATTTGCATTTCCCTGATGACTAATGTTGCTGGGCATCTTTTCATATGCAGGGGAGGATTTTCATTCCTTTATACAGTAGTCAGAATACAGCTTACTGGAAAGTATTTGTCAGACAGGGAGTTACTTTTTGTGCTTAAAGAGATTTCCAAAATGTTTATAACTGTGATTCTTCTTTTGCAGAATGGCTCAAAGAATCTTTTCACAGAGATGACAGTCAAAGAATTATGGAGAAATAACCGCCATCTTGCACCGTGCTCTAGGGAGCGGCCAAAACTAGATTAGGTTTGTGAACTTGTTCTTATTCTAGGCTTTGGTGAGTTTTGTCCTAGACAAAGTCTACTTCCCTCCCCCATAAACTCTGATAAAAGGTTTGGACAATTAAAAAGAACTTGGCAACTGACAGAGAGGCTTCAGTGGTCAGAAGATGAGACATCTACCTAACTAGAGGAAAACCTAGACAGAATTGGACATAACCCTCTGGAGGCAAATCAGTCCTTGGGCTCTTTTTGTGGCACTGTGGGAAGTGAGATCCCTTTCTAATAGGTGATACCTAGTGGACAAGAATAAAATGGTACCTTCCAAATATATCCAGGAAAAAAAATTAAAATTCCACCCACCTCCATTAATTATAATGACTTATTTTGGAAAACGGCAAAGCAAAAGCCCTGCACTCAATATCGGAGGAATGTTCCTTCTTTGGTTTTTCTAATGTGAGAATCTCTCCAACTTGTTATCATCAGCAAACTCCCTTTCCACAGACGTTATACATAAAGACCTTACACTTTACACATGTAGTGCAATATTTATTAGTATATCTTAGTTGTCTAAGTGTAAATGTAGAGCATTTACAAATTACAAATCCAAATGCTGAGGGCTCAAAGTAACTCTCTGTTAGACTTTAGTGTATTAAAGTTGTATGTTGATGATAATTATTTATAGTTTTGTAAACAGATAAAAGTGTGTTAAAATGGAATTGACTTCAACAACAGTTGCCCTAACAAGGAACTCATGAAATACAGTTTAGCAATCATTGCTCTCAATCTCTAAATTAAATGTGGTACAAGTTATGACATTGCCCATATTGTCCCAGCACCTTTCCATCTCTCTTTTTCTTTTTTTCCCCCACCCCCACAGTGACTTTCTTGCTGACATCATGATAACTAATAGTTAACATCAGGTAACTAATAATTAACAACGGCTTTATTATTTAACATAGACCAAGTACCACTAATGTGACAGGGACAACAGTGCACACGTAACCAGATCATTAGTCCTGATCACTGCCTTGTGGGTGCATAATCTGTTAATTGAGATCTCCTAGTCTGAAAAGTGAATTCCCACTAAAAGGTTTAGAACACTGTCACCACCAAGCAGTTTGCAAATGACAGAGAAAGTGGCCTGCCAGATGGAAGCGGCTGTCCTTAATCCCCTCAAGCAGGTGATTCAGCTTTTTCACTGAGCCAAGGCTCAGAAAAGGTCAGAGATTTATTTGCAATTTCTGTATCCTTATAATCTCCAGAAATAATCTCTCATTAAATATCTACTAGGCTTGCATTATTCCCTTAATTTGACTTGCGATGAGTTGCCTCAGGATCTGTGGAACCCAGACCTGACAGCCCCCACCTTGCAGTTAATTCTTGGACTGGCTTCTCTTTCCCCTTGGGCTCCAGTTCAGGTCTGCCCAGTTTTACACTCAGGCAG